CAAATAAATATTTTTGTTTATGCAGACTTATACAGTAACCCACAAGAAGGGGCATTTTTTTACAACAAAATCCAACTGAGACCCACTGCTTTCACTGCCACACAGATCCAAGCTTCAGTTGGCGTCTCCCACAGAGAAGCGGATTCAGTAATGAAGTGGGACAGTGAAGCTCAGGCGCTGCAGGTCCTGCCTAGCAGGTGTCACTCAAAAGAGGAGACCTAGGGTGGCAGCAATCTTCTCTCTTACAGCCGGTAAGGGTTACAAAACTCTTTCTTGAACTGGTCTGGGGTTTAGTTCCATCTCAGGGAAACTCAACTTCTTGTTCTCATTTTGCAACTGAGTACCAGTAAACCAAATGCAAGATTTAAATAAGGCAAAGATGGGAGAGTGCATATAATTGCAGAGCCTCTGAGGAGGAGCAGCCATGTCCTAGGCTCTATGGCACAGTGGAGTTTTTCTTAACAAGTCATCAGCAAAACAAAGATTCACAGGCCCTTTGGAGGCATACGAAGTTAAACAGGCACAGGCTTGCAAAGCTTCAAAACTCAAACCGGTCTTCCAGTGTAAGCTAATACAGTGCACTGAAGTGGCAGCAAAAGTGTACATGCTGGCTGCTGGTGAGCAAGCACAGTGACTCACTGGAAACAGAGATACAGGGCAGCTGTCACATGACAATCTAGTGCAGCACAGGAGAAAACACAGAACAGCAGTATCCCAGATAGGTCAGAGGTATGGAGAGAAAATCATGTCAACTTCCAGCGGTCAACACATTTAAAATCATTTATCTATTACTCAGTTTGCATTTTAGGCTTGGCTCTTGAAAATGCTGTGTAGCAGAAGTTTATTTGCCTCATGCACATTCACCTGTAGTTTTGCTATAACCCATTCCCTATGCATTGAATACTCCAGGCTTGGTCTTAGTCTTACAACCACACTCAAAAAAAATTTTTACATACATATATATTTGCATACACACGAAATACATTTGCTTACTCTTCAGGACAGAAATAGTCGTGTAGAAGACTCTCTGGATGGCATTTCATTGCCTGTGGGTAAGCCCACGCAGCCATATGAGAAGACTGTTGTTATCTGAAACACCTGCATGTGGCTAGCAAATATGACACAGGACCTGGGGTCCTTTCTGCCAGAGCAGATGGGGTAGAACTCCCCAGGAACCTAAATGGCATTGGAAATCTCTGTATAAGGGTTTGGACTTCATATGTATGAGGGTGACATACTTACAGGCAGTCACTGAAACAGGGTATTGGACTGAAACCTACCTCATTCACTCTTATTTTCCACAACCCACATAACAAAAATGGTTCCATGGGAAGACAAAGAAGGAATTATTTAAAAGTTTGTGCATGGATATTATAAAGAAAAAGAGATTACTCCAAAATGCAAGTAGCATGGCAACCAACAAGGCATTAGTGTATCTAACAGGTTAAAACTGGGAAGTGAGAAAACTTAGACAATATGCACAAGAGAGCAATTAAAACTGAATTTGATACTGGGTATTCTGCCTTTTTGATTTCTCTGAGAAAGTTCTTAAGATAAATACTTAGGTATACCACAGAAGTCACCCACAATCAATATCTACATGAATATCTATATGAAGATAATCTTTTAACTGTTACTTTAAAACAAAATGCAAAATAAACTTCCCTACGGCAAAGACAACAGCTCTGATCCCATCTTATGTATCACCACTGTTAAGGCCATATCCCTAAACTGACAAACTTGGAAGTAGCCACATTGAGACTGTTCCAGATTTTAGCCTACTGAACCAATGGTAGGCTAAGCCTTTCCAAAAAGTAAGTATTTCACAGGCTCATTGAGCCTTTAAAGCACCAGAAGAAACAGAAGAGACAAGTAGCTCAACAATCTGTTAAATCAGTAAAATTTTTCAGTCTTATGAAGAAGCCTGCTCATATGCCTGGAAAAAAAAAAAATGGATAGGAAGTACAGCCGTTTCCTAGGATGTCACTTTGTTTGAAGCACAACCAATGTACCACTTTTTCCAGGATGTACCAGGCCCATGTTTCCCTAATCCTCCAAAGACAAAGCAATTCCTAACATGCACTGTTTTGAGTGCCTACGAAAATAATAATTCAGCATAGTTTCTCTATTAATCTTTCTGAAAGGGCTGCTTTATTACAGCTGGTACTATATTACATTGGTTTCCTAATGTTCTGACCCCTCTTAAAAATTGCAGTTTTTGAATTAGCAGAGAGATGTTAACCTAGATACTGAAAGTTGCTCTCATTTTATTATTTTTTAAAAAGGCGAAGTAAGCTCAATTTGACATCAGCAATAAAGTACAGAATCTGGACCGCAGAACTGGTGCACTTACACACTGTGAAGAGCAAAATGGAAGAACTTATTTCCGTAACATATTTCAGAATTATATGGCTTGGACATTATTATTATTATCATGCATCTCTGCACATCTTAGGAATGTTGATGAAGAAGGAAAGGAGTTAGAATAATGGGGGACTGAGAAATCCCACAGAAATGTTACAGTGTTTTAGGAATGTTTTGTTTGTTTTTAGAAAGACCAAAAAGTTACAAGTGGTCATTCTCCTCCCTCTCTGCTCTCATGAAAATACTTGCAATTTCTCTCACTTCAGAAGTGGGAAGACACTGGGGATGCAAGGCAGGAGGGAGCAGATCAATCAGGACCCCAGAGTTGAGATCCTGGTTAATGAAAACAAGAGACACAAGCCTAAGGTCCAAATTTTGAGTAGCAGGTGGCACAGCAGAAAGGTGGAGAGGTGTCCCTTAGGATTTTAGTTTAATGAACTAAGTGGCAAATGTGCATGGCCTGGAAAATTGTAATACTGCTGTCATGGAACTCAGGCAAACTAACTGTGGGAATCCTGTGTTCTACACAGCTTAAGCATGCGCATTTGTTTGCTATAATTACAGAAATTAAACCACTTTCCACATTTATTTCCCCATCCCTAAGTACCAAAACAGAAAAACTGGTGAAGGATCACTATCACTTGCACGGCAACGTCTCAGGTTACCCAGGAGGCTCTCTCCAGAAGCAGCTGCAGAGGAGTGGGAATCTCATGAGAATGCTGCTCCTAATGGTGTGGCATGAGCACAGGAGACAAGTTTCTAAGACACAGAGAGGCCCCCAGGACTGTACTTACACATCCAGGGCCTCTAGGGGCTAAAAGTCTGGCAGCTTAGAACCACATACCCCAGCAGCTATGCGCCAAAAGGGGGAACCAATCTTATCAGTCTACAGACACACAGATCTTTACTCTGAAGTATGGCCCAAGGAGCAAGGAAAGTGTTTTTTATCTTATTCCTCCTCCGTGGGGAGTTTGAGGAGAGTTATGAGAGGTAAAAAACACCACAAACAATAACTGAGAAGTTTGTGGATTTTGTGATTTCTTACAAAAAAGTACATATTTTACATTCAGTAGGAAACAACTAGGTTTGCAGTGTCCTTATAGATGTAGCTAAGATGACATCAGAATTAAAGTGGTGCTGATAAATAGCATAAATAGTTATGCAGAAGGAAGCCCCTCATTGAAAAGAGAGGCATAGCTTTGTGGTTCTAACATGGGGTAGGCAGTATTTCTCAATTCAGCCCTTGCTTCTGTTGTGGACTCTTGGCGTGACAGATCATGGTGCATCAGTTATCTTTTGTCCAGGGTGACCTGCTGTACTTTCTTCTAACCAGACCATAATCTGTTTGATCACACGCCTTCTTCCCATGGACATATGGAAACATTGTGCCAGTTTCAATACCCTCCCAGTTTCAGCTGGCTTCTCAGCATTATTAAAACTCCCATCTTTATCAATGGGACCTTTGTTGACAGTTTTCAGCAAAGAAAAGGCAAGACTGAATGGGCCACAAAAACAAAATTCTGTCCTTTTCACGCAGTAGTATCTCTGGTCATTACTATGGAAAAGCCAGCAGTGCCTTCTGCCTCTATCAAACACATGCTGTAAGGCACTAGGAGGTCCTCAGTCTTCAAATATGTGAAACTGGCTTCTTGCCCATTATCAGTTTCAATGGCAAATGCTTTAAAAAGTTTTACCTCGTCCTCAACCTGCACCTTCCTCCCGTTTATCACATTAAAAACAATAACAATGCAAAACAGTAAAGTGCAAAGAGGTTATAGGAAAATCTATGCACTGTATCCCACCCACAGCCTGATCCCAAAGACTCGGGGGTCCAGCCCCCCGAGGGCCCGGGGCAGCGTTCACCGCTCCAAGTCCCTCCACACTCCGAGCCTAAAACGGCACCGACGGGGAACACTTTGGGTTTAGCACCGACAGCGCACTCGGTGGCCGCGGGGCTCTTCTCATCTACCAACACCTTAACAACAGCCGGCGGCTGCTGTTTGCACTCGGCTCTCGGCAGACCAGCAAAATGCCTGGGGTTTCCAGGACGTGCAGACCTTATTACAGAAAGCGGTGGAAAAGATGGGGGGGAGGGGGCGGAAAAAAAAAAAAAAGAAAAAAATAAACGTTTGGGAGGCTGCGGGACACGGCGCAGAAACGGAAGAATCCTTTAGCCCCCGGTCCCGGAGAAAAAAACCTTCTCCCGCGCAGCAGCTTTCGGCTGAGCCGGCTCCGCTCCTCCTCCGCGGCGGGCGCGCAGCTGGAGCCGCCCCCGCACCTGCCACCGCCGCGCCGGGCTCCCCGCAACCCCACTCACCCGCCGGGGGCAGCGCCTCCGCCGCCGCTGGGGTGGTAGGCGGTGAGGACCACGCCGCGGGAGCTGGACCGCCAGCTCATGGCGTGCGCCGTCGCATCCCTCCTGGAGATCCCGAGGCGGAGCGGGGCGACTCGGCCCCGGCCCGGCGCGGCCCAGCCTCCCGCCGACGGCGCAGCGGGGCAGGGCCGGGTGACGGCAGCGCTTCCTGCGGCCCGGCGGGGCCGTGCCCCTCCTCCCGGCTCGGGCACCCGGACGCCCCAAGGGCCAGAGCAGCCCGGGTGGCGGCGGCGCCGAGCGGCTGCCGGGAGCGGTGCCCGGAGCGCCCCGGCCGCGCTGGAGCTCCGTGCGGTTCCACACACCGCGGGGTGCGGGAAACCGGCGTTCTCCGGGCAGGGTCCGGTCCGCTTGAAGGCATCGCGAAGTCCGACAAGTAAAGAAAAGTCGCGGCCCTTTCAGCCCCGGGTCAGCCGGCCGGGCCGTAGGTACGGAGTGCCACGGGCGAACTGCTGCTCGCCGGGGCTGCCGTGCGGCAAAGGCAGCACGGCGATAAGAAACACGAGGAATGTGTTCAGGGTGTGCTTTGTACGTTATCCATTTCGCTGAATCCCAACATTATCCTGCGAGTGGTTTAACTTTTCATACACAAAGAAATAGGGTCTGGGGTTTTGGGGGGTTTTGTTTGTTTGTTTTTTGTGGTTCTTTTGTTTGTTTGTTTTTGTGGGGTTTTTTTGGTTTTTTTTAGATTACAAGCTGTCGTCACAAAAATCACAGCAGGTGATTTCGTCAAGCGAGAACACAGGTGACTGAGCTGCCTCATAGATACTGGGCCTTAAACCAGCCGCCATGAGATCCAAGGTCACGCTCTACCAACCAACAACAGCCAGAGTAGGGCAGCGTTGGGTCCGACTTTTTTGTGGGCACAACCTCTGCTGCACCTTGGCACAGGCTCTGATGAGATGGGACTCACTGCCTTGGTATTAGTTTTGAATTGGTAGGCAAGACGTGTAACACAACATTCAAACCTGTTCGTTTTTTTTCCATGGCAACATGTAAATGTACACAAACTATTTAGGTTTGTAATCTGTGCCCTAGCTCACAAAAGCATATATTTTGTCTGAATTGGTTTGTTCTATAAGTGAATGGATCGACTTCAATATGAGTGTAACTTGCAGTGTTTACTTTTCCCTTTTAAAACAAACAAATCATGCAACTCCTTTGCTTGCAATTAAAAATCTGCAAAGTTCAGTGCTGGGATATATGAGGCGTTCTGGAGCATAAGTGTCAAGTTCTGAACCTTCACTTATTTAAAACTTGTACACTTAAATCGGAAAGCTGCATGCAAGCTGTGGATGGATGACAGAGCTTTCTGTGCAGCTGTTCTCCAGCACAGAGCTGCCAAGCAGGAGCAGTACAGAAATCTTGTCCTACAGCTACTGTGAAGTTCATTCCAGCAGAGAAGCAAACAGGCAGAACTTCCCATCATGTCTGAGCAAGATCAGTTTGTCCTCTAGAACCCTTGATACTTACAGCTGGTGACTTTACAGGGCTCATATTCAAACTAACTGAACTGTGCCATTGATTTAAATAGGTAATTTCTTAAAAGGCTGGTCTTCTACATAGTGCCAAACAGGGAGTCCCGATTTCTTTTAAAAGGGCAAAGTTGCTATGAAATTTTGAGAAGAGTCCCAATATTACAAGCACAAGAAAATTGTCTGCATGTACCTAGACACTCACAAAAACAAGGACATAGAACCATACCAAAACTTCGCACTGTGAAAAGATTTCCCTGTATGCCCACTGCAAAGGTACTGCGCTCTCTCCATATCTCAGGCTGTGTCCAAAAGGCAAAAATTAGCCTCACTTTTCACCTAAGCATACAAACGAGACTCCTCTGTTTTCACTGCTCACTTTAGAAATACATCAGCATGAGCTGAGAAAACATTGTATTAATGTATGTCAGTACTCCTATGCTGGTGCACTTGGCCCTTTCTTTAAATGCACTTGTGGTTAATTGTTAAACAGCATATGCAAAATGCAAAGTTATTTTCTGAAGGACCCAACTTTTTTCTTTTAAACTAAACCAGAAAAACTAAAAATGAAAATACCAGGACATGGCCATGTCTAAAACTTCAGCTAAGTGGTTGCGTGCCAAATACCCCACTTAGTTATAAAACTTCCTTTAAAAAAATAGCTAAATTATAACAGAAATAAAAGTAAAACATTTAAAGCATTCCATGTTTAATGAGTGCTCTCCAAAGCCCTTTGCCCAAACTAAATATATATTAGGTGTTATAAGAACAAAAATGTAAACTGGTTTTTTTTTTGATAAGCTTCTTAAAACACATCATAATTAAGGCACACTGTAACATGCTTCACTGCTGTAAAAAGAAGAATGCAGTAACAAAATGTAGTCAATGCAGCGTTATTAAGTGCTGCTCAAAAGACAATTTTGCTGCAAATGGAGAAGGGAAAGAACCTGCCTTGTTTGGGGTGGGGGGGAGGTTAAGAATGGCAAAACCCAGAATGAGTTTGTACCAGTCAACTGGAGAGTAAGAAAGCTTAAGAAAGCTTTTGTGAGTATATCACAAGGAGGGTGGGTAAAGAACTGGAAAGAAAAAAAGTTCTATTAATAAATGAGAATAGGGATTGAATTACTGATAAAATGACCAGAGATACTGATCCCCTCCTTATATGTGTCTTTATTATGACACGCTTCAAACGCAGAAGTGGATTTAGGAGCTTACCTCTAGACACAATTTTTTCTATACTATGTCTGACAACTTGAAAGGCTCAAAATCAGTCCTGTTATGACAGCATAGCACCACCATAGTTTTCTTTCATTAAATTATTCCCAATTTAAAGGAGAGCCAGATAAACAATTTTGACCTACAGATACATTATTGCTGTAAACTGACAAAAATATCACTAGTCTGTCATTGGTATAAATAGTCATTAATTCCTGAGTTTGTAGTTAATATTTCTGTTCTTAATAAGGTACAGGCAGGATTATTTGGAAAGTAAGGTTGTTCATAGAGAAGAGAAAGCTTCAGGGAGACCTCATTAAGGCCTTCCAGAACCTTATGGGGGATTATAAAAATGAGGGAGAGGGACTTTTTATACAGGTAGATAGTGACAGGAAAAGTGGCAATGGTTTTAAAGGGAAAGTGGGCAGGTTTAGCTTAGATGTTAGGAAGAAATTATTTACTCAGAGGGTGGTAAAGCACTGGAAAAGGTTGCCCAGAGAGGTTGTAGATGCCCCATCCCTGGAAATGTTCAAGGCCAAGTTGGATGGGGCCCTGAGAAATGTGATCTAGTGAGTGGCATCCCTGCCCATGGCAAGGGGGTTGGAACTAGATATTTAAGGTCACTTCCAACCCAAACTATTCTATGATTCTATAATCAACTAGATAAAAGTGCACCATTTTAGGCATTTCTGTTTATGTGATAAAAGGAGGATATCACTGAGAAAGGAGATTGCAAATCAGTCTGTCTAGATACAGAATCCAAGACTCCTTCAAAGAGTTTAAATATTTAGATTAAGATGTCATGCAGTGCCTTTGCACTCAATATAATCAGTCACCAAAGCCAAGCAGATCACGTGCTCTCTTTACAAAGCAATTGCTAAAAAGATGACTTCTCAGCAGTGCCATCCTTCTTCACTGCTTTGCAGGGTTTGAATACGCATGTGTTCAACATATGGTTTTGAGCCTTTACTGCAGAAGAATTTATTTTCCTTTTTAAAATTTTCCCAAATAAAAAAACAAGTCACATGTATTTTCGTATTTTGTATAAATATATGAGTATACATTTTCTAAATAATTTGGGTGATTTTTTGCATTCCATATTCCTAATGATATGTTAATTATCAGCAGGTAAAAATACAACCCATGGCGAAGAATTGGCCTGAGGAAATCGTAACACGTCAGCTGACAAATTGGAATTCACAGGCTGATTTCAATGGCAGTAAATGGATTTATTCCTGCTGATTTTCCCTCTGGAAACAATGCCAGAGTGCTTAGACAACCAATGCAGTGCTGCAATAAAAGAAAAACTGAACTTTTAAAGTATATTTTTAATGCAGGAGAGCTTCAACCTTTTCCTTGTATTATTTATTCTAACTTTTGTTCAGCTGGATTTTAAACTGGGCAGAAAATGTCTCATCAGCTCACTCACCTAATTCACATTGAAATAAAATGGCTGCACTGCTTTTGTCCAAATTATGTTTCCAGTGTTCCAGCCAGAAGGCAGAAAAGACTTGCACTGGAAAGTTGTTTGTATACTGTAAGATGAAATCTAACCCTTATTAAGCTTCACACTTCATGTATTGCTGCACTTCACTGTCTAAAGAACTACATATGTGAAGAGTGTTCTGCAGCTGTTAATAACCAATACTATGAATAATATAAAAACGTATATTACAGGTTACTTAACTCTTGGATGTACAGCCATACAGCTGATTTTACATTCCACTGAAAGTCTGTGAAAGAAATGCGCTTTTAGAGGGTAAAATCCTCTGCCTTATGTTAGACCTCCATTTTAGCACATAGAGATGAATCATGTTCTAGGATTGCCCATCTGTCTGATAAGTTTCACCTTTAATGCTTTTATGTTGACCTTCAAAATATGGAAGACACAGTGTTCATTTACAATGTGCACCATATGACATAAACAATGTGGAGCAGTCAGTATTTCAAATGTACAGTACTGATATATAGGAGGTGTTTCAGATCAGCTTATACATCCCTGAATAGCAAAGGTGGGGATGAAGTCACACGTGTACACAGAAAGCTGCTAACATGTTTGCTAGCCAGCACATGGTGAACATTTCTTATGGTCTGATTCCATGAGCTAGTATATTCAAATTTTCAGTGTTTTGTTTTGTTTTGTTTTAAAAAGATGTCCAGTATTACAAAGTAGTGGTTCCGTACATGGGGGAATTTAGCAAGTAAGACACAGTTGTCACTGAAGCAACTGCAAGGATATGGGCAAATGTGAGAGAAGTGACACCTTCCCAGCTTTCTGAGTTTTCACTTTCTTCCTCACTGTCCTCCACACACATATTTAAAGAGCCGATTTGTTTCTCACGGAAAAAAAGAAAAAAAAAAAAAGAGAGAGAGAGAGAAAAGGGAGTAACACTTAGGTTGTTCGCTTTTCTTGGGACTTGCTCTAAAATGTATCTGGTGCACTCTGGTGGCTGCTTGGGTAATTCTTAATTCGATAACAGCAAAAGGTGAAACAATAACTACTGATACTGGTTTTGAGATTAACCCTATAAAAACTAAGAAGCACATGAATTTAATCTAGTTTATCCAGGTTTTTTTTTCTTGAATGCATCCTCTGGAGAAATTCAGATCTTGTCCATTGCAGCCCATCTGCTTACCTTATGTAAATCACAGCACAGGGGTTAAGTGGTGGAAGTTCTCATCTCATTTGCTTTATGATTTTCTCATGGTCAGACAGCTGCTGAATTTTACCCAGAGAGGTATATCTGTTTCTGTAGAGATAACTTATCCATATTTATTTGTAGCATGACCTTGCATAGACCCTCACATCTATTCTTGCTCCTCTTTCCCTATCCATACTAAGAGGGTTAATAATATCTAGCTATTTATGAGGATTATTCACCATATGTTCAATTACATTGAAAGGTACCAAAAAATGCAGCACATAATTTTCTGCTACATCACTACGTTTAGTTTCATTTGGTATGCTATTTAATAGGGATAAAATGGCATGGATTTCTGTATCTAGTACACTTTGCAGTACCCCCACTTGAAGTACAGAACTTTTGCAGAAAACTTAATATCACAACTGATGTTTCATGACACTTTTGCAAAGGGAAAAGTCAGCATGAATGTTGGGAACTACAGGATTTTCACTGAAAATCCTGAATGCCACCTTTCTCTTAAGCTAGTTTTGATACACTTTTGATTTTATAAACCATGACTTTTATAAACCATGATTTTATAAAACACGAAGAGTATAGTCAGTCAGATATGCCACTAATTATGAAAAAATAGTTGTATTTTCAGAATATAATGACCTTGGCCCTGCTTAATTCTCCCAAAGTGTTATCTAGATGTGATAAATACTGAATGCATTCACTGCAGAGGCAGATATACACTGCTAGCATATGAAAATGTAGAGAAAATAAAA